TTTTCTTGTATAAAATTGCATTTTCTATCGTTAGAATTAACATATAGATGATGGAAAACGTATAGTATGTTTCCATATATAGCTTTACATTGGGGAGGGAGGCATTTTACAGAATAATCGGAGTTTTTACTTTTACATCAATTTCATTCCATGTTTCTCTCGCATAAAAGTACATTTCTGTGTATAAAATAAACATATACAGAATGATAAATTTAATATAGGAATACGTGGGAGCATCCTCGTCCATCTGTTTATAATAGAGAAGCGATGTCTGTAGGCACTTCTAGAGCATACATAATGCATACCTATGCTTATATTTTAATTTAATTTATAATTTTAGAGCTCCGGGATGATGATATTCAGAATAGAAAATAGTTTCCGATGCATCAATTCGTCCATTTTGAGTTATTATAATGGCAACTTACGAGCTCTGTAGACGTGTATTGGGTAATACGGTGCGGGCACGTTGCCTAAATTATGTTTACACACCGAATTTATGTTCTATTATGAGATATCTACGTATGGGATGCCGGTGTATGAACAAACGATGCTATTTAATCAAAGAGAGGGGTGTAGATTCCACGCTTACGAGTTAAGAATCCTTAAATTAACTTGAGAAAATGAACTTTTTCACCCAATTTTCGGTTCTAAACGATTGATTAATCAATTCTTGCGGGTCCCCCCAAAAAAGCGCTATAGGGCCTTAATTATTTGCAAAAATCAAGCGGGAAACGTACCGTTGGCCCTATATTTATCGACAGAAGCCCAGTAAATTTCGGGTTGTTAATCAGTTTTGTAGGATGACGAACGACTTGGAAGCAACTTAATCACGCCCAGGTGAGAAAGAATATAGAGCAGGACTCGCTCTATTGATTGTAGTTTATCAAACTCTCCTTTGGAATGCGTTCCCCTGCTTCCTACCCCCGAATGGCCGTGGGTTGTATCCACTTTCCGTTGCTAGGCAACCTGCCGTCTCTACGAGACGGGGCATTGCCTGTTCCCACGTGTTTCTCAACGGGACTGCTGCCATCGGAAGAAGACCAGCGTTTTGCTTTACCACGCTCCAAAATGTCTCCTCGCTTCAACCCCCGCCTTTAACAGTAATCGAATTAGGTGACGAGGTAAGGCTTCTTTCTAGTGTTCTAATTAATCAGCATCTGTTACCCTATGCTCGTTTTACACCCCCTTTTTTGTGTAAGCGTAAGGCTCCTCCCTTATAAATTATTACCCTCTCGAATTGCCTTCTTGCGCATGGGCGTTACACTTTAAGAGGTGTTTCTATGCCCCCTTTATAATGTTAAATCGTTGTGTTTTCGTGTCATTGATCTATCAGTGGAGTCGTTCCGTCTCCAACAACACGCAGCCACCCTCCTTTATCTACTAGTTATAATTCTAGTTTTATCTGTTAGATGGATATACCCGACAATGCCTCAGGTAAGAAGGAACCCCCAGTGTTGCCATGACAACCCTATGTTCAATTAAGCTGAGAAGAGGACATGGGGGAGGGAATTCACCTCACCTGCCACAGATCCTGTTTGCTAAGACCTTTAACACAAAATAACGATTGGAATTACGTTGTTCCACTCGATTAATGGGCGAATTCATTAATGGAAAGCGTTCGACTTCCATGAATAAATACGTCAGAATGTGTGTATAAAATAAAAAAAGACGTGATTTAAAGGTAGAAAGGCGACGACACTCGCAATCAATAGGCTGACGTTTCACTCGTTCCTACTGTTTCTAATGTTATTGTAATCAGTTTGGTGTATTCTACGTCACGAAATCTCTAAAATATAAAAATGAAGTCATTCGTTTCGCTAATAAACACTATTATTTTGCAGTAAATAAGTTTAAAATTGCGGATTTCTCACTCGAAATGCGCTCGATCCTCGCGCTCTTCTCTCGTTTATTTGGCGATCCCCTTATAAAATCCGTGTTAAAATGGGATGATTAGTCTTGCCGATGAACACGATTATGTTACTTTGAATACGTTTAAAAATACAGAATTACCATCTTAAACGAGTGTAATACACGTTACAACTCCATATTTTCCTGTCGTTTATTCGAAGATTCCCTTGCAAAATCTACATCTTAGGAAAAATTGGATGATCCAACTTATAAATAAACACAATTGTGTTACGTTAAATACGCTTTAAACTATAGAATTACCATTTTAAATGCTCGTAAGACACATTTTGCTATCGTTATTTCGACGATTCCACTACAAAATCTCTGCCATACGAAACTAAGATGATTCGTCATATCAGTAAACACGATTACGTTTCGTTAAACACGCTTAAAAACTCAGAATTCCCACTTTAAGCGTGCGTAACACGCGTTACAACTCATTTTATTCGATGATTCCTATAAAAAAGAATCTCTGCCATACTAAACTGAGATGATTCATCTCGTCAATAAACGCAATTACGTTACGTTAAATACGCTTAAAGGTACAAAATTCCCAGTTTAAACGAGCTAAGATACTTCACACTCCCCCATTTTACTGTACAAAACACACAAACGTCGAGGGGGTAAGCATTAAAATCAGCTTTCATATCTGAACTAGTAAAGCAAACGGGGGATTACACAGCATTAAAGTAAACAGATAACATTAAAAAAAACAGGGAGTGGGGGTGTAGATTTTAATTAATGAATGCTTTGAAAGATTGAGTACCTGTTATCGATCGGGATGGTCGTCTCAAATATTTGTTAAAGAGCCATTGGAAATTCCATCACCAGGAGGTAAGGCAAACTTTCTCCTAAACGTCTGCTATCATTATAATTACCGGTAATGAAATCACAGATCATAAATCACGACACCGTTTTCCCTCTCGACAAATAGGGATGGAGTTATTAGTGATAGACAGATATACTTCCCTACAGAAAATAAACTCGTGATTGCGTTAATGACGTGATTATGCCTTCTAACCTTATAAATTCTCTCCCCTTTATAAACACAAAAAATGCCAATATTAACTTTATAATTGTATATTCCGTTATGGACAGACATACCAGGAGTCTACTTTATTGATTAGTTTCTATATGAGATTTCTAACTCGTACCCGTTTTATTTACTTGTTTTTAGGCCCGTGAGATGTTTAAAATTTGATTTTATAAAGTTTATGGCATTAATTTTATGGATTTTAATCTATAAAATTATAGCAAACTTGCCCCAAAACTTATAAGCAGTTATGAAGTTCCTAGTTTAAATGTATGAAATGAGTGTTTTTATATATATTTAAGCTCTGTTTTGGTTAAATTTATATATATTTTAATCTAAAAAATGTATAAAACTGCATAAAGTATGCTTAAAATTCCCTAAAATCTACATAACAGAGCGTATTGTAGTTAAAAACTTCTAACTTTTTGTATCTTTTATGCAGATTTTATTAGCTTATAATGTGTTAAAATTTGAATTTTTTAAAAGATTTTAATTAAGATTTTAATTAAGATTAAAGAAGTTTTATACATTTTAATATATGAAATTATATAAAATGTGCCCCAAACCCCATAAAATCTATACAATAGAGCAGATGTGAAAATTCTAATTCACGAGCTATTTTATATCGATTTTTAAGTTTATAAAATGTAAAAATTTCAATTTTATAAATATTTTAACAAAATTTTATCGATTTTAATCTACAAAATGATAGAAAAAAATGCATAAAAACCTATAAAATTCCATACGTGAAACACAAGTGACATACTTTTCAGAACGTTATATCGATTTCATCTTCATTTTTTTACGACAAAACACAATTTTTAATCTGTTAATGCAATAAATTGTTGCTTCAGTCGGTATACAAAGTAGACCAAAAGTCAGTTAACTGTAAGGACTAAGTCAAACACGATTATAAGAGCAAGTATACAGAGAACACATAGGCACGGTTAATAGTCTTTTGGGCCACCCTATATTCTACATTACAATTTATTATTTTTTAAACAATATATTTGTTGTGTTTAACGCATGTTTACCTCATAAAATCGAATTTATTCCGAAAAAATCAACTAATTTCTTTGAGCAATTCGGTTGAAAAGTCATTTTTAGTATCTTTTATAAAACTCTAATTATAAATTTTGTTTTTCTTAAATCAAATTCAAAACAAATAAATAACGACTTTTAAAGGATTTTAACCTAAAATTTTAATTCTTAAACCTCTTTAACTCGATAATATAAAGTTTGAATTGTTTAACTCGAAATCAACCTATAGATCGCGACTTACCGGTTGAGTAACTCAACTCAAAACAATGTTTAAAAAAAAAAACTAGAAAAAAACACAATAAATATCCTATAAATTAAAATAAATGTATAAATTATATACCAATTATAAAGCTGAAAATAGTAAAAATTTTATTTATCCTATTTATAAGAGAAATCTTTCAAGAAATCCCAAGACACTTCCTCCTATAAACATCTTAATTACAATTTTAAAACTATTTTACTTGTGTTTTTATACATTTCAATTAATTTTTCTATTAAAAAGTAATTAAATTTATATATATTAGTTAATTAATTATAGACTAAAAGCTCAAAAGTATTGTAAATATAAACAAATTTATCTCATTTATGCATTTTCAGGTAACCCAATGGCAATTAATTATAATTTTCAAACAGTTTTATTCGATTTTTTTATATGTTTTAACGTTTTTAAATTAAAAAAAGGTTAATTTGCATATTTAATACTAAATATAGACTACAAATTCATAAAAGTTGTAAACGAAAAGCCATTTGGCTCACTACTAGACAATCCAAATATCTGGATGAATGAGCACTTTCAATCAGCATCAGGTTAATTTTAAAACTATTTTATTTGATTTTATGTACACTTTAAAGTGTTTTAAATTTACGACGGGTTAATTTACGCATTTAGTACTGAATATAGGCTATAAATTCATAAATATTGAAGATATAAAGTCGTTTGGCTCACTTATAGACGAGCCAAAACTCGTTTTATACGGTTTTACATACATTTTAACGTGTTTTTATTGAAAAAAACCAGGTAAACAAACAAGAAATCTCGAAGCAGAATCCAGAGAATCTCGCCAATCAGGAGCATCGTTTGAAGAGCGAAACGAATTTAATGGCATCACCATCACCAGAATATTGCGATACAGCCAGCCAGACAGAATGGACAGGTGGTTGGGAGCCGTGCTATCTAACGTGTGACCAAAAAGGGTAAAAATCTATTAAACAATGATAGATACTTGCCTTCCCCTTTCCCTGCTTCCCTCCCCACTTTAAATCCCGTTAATGCCCGAAATTCTAGAGCATAATGAGTTGTGTGCGGCTAACGAAATGACCCTTACATAGCTCATTTACATCTCCGTCCAATTTACTGGAGGATAAATGGCCAGATTTTTATTAATTCGAGCAACAATGAGTTGCTGAAATTATTGAAAACTTTTGCAATTTAACGCTCTTATAATATATATAATGCTCGGTTATTTGAATTCAAATTACCACTCGCCTTCTTTCTTTTTTTTATGACGTATAATTTCAGAATGTTGCAATCGTCCAATCAGATGCAGCTAGTCGATTGTGACGTAGGAGCCGAAGATGAGGTGGAAGAAAGCTGTGACGTCGAATATGAGGTAGGTTGAAGAATTTGGTGATCGAATGTTTAATACGGTCGAACCTCCAAACAACGGACACCTCTAAACGGCGGCCATTTCCACCCGTAAACTTTTTCTTTTGAAAAAAAATACGTACAAAATAACCTCCAAACAATAACCACCTCCGAACGGCATCCATTTTTTTCTGTTCTACTCAGTGGCCAAAGGTTTCACTGTTTTTTTATTTTTTTTTTTAATATTTAAAGTCAAATCTCTAAATTGATCGTTGTTAACAGATGGCCGTTATTGGATGTTCCACTGTATAATTAAACAAAAAGGATTCTAAACTATAAAAAGTACATAATGTATAGGCCTACACGCACAAAGCCGAATTTACACATAAACTAAACAAGCGGCAACTTAATGCCTCGCGTTATGAGTCAATAGTTTAGGGCTTCACAGTTTTTACATGTTTTGTTACGACATATAAGAAGGGACTCTTATATGTCGTAACACCAGTATAAGTCAAAATCTTGTTCTAGTAGTAACCGAGAGAGGGAGAAATGAAGCCCAGAGCAATAAAATGTGGGGCCTCTCCCTCTGTCTGAGAACAATAAAAATATATGAATGAAATGAATAAATTATCACGTTTTGAATAAAATATTACATTTTGATACCCCTCGGTGTCCGAGAACAGAACTAAGTAGCCCTGCTGGTGTCCCCCCTATTATCGGAATTTATTCGAATATTTTTAACACTTATATTTAAAATAATCACCATAGTTCTTGAGAAAATATATGAGAAACATCGTTCATTTAAGATCCAAACGTGCCCCCGTTTATATCTTATATCATATATATATCCGCTGTATTCAGGGCCTTTGTTTATATCTTAAGAGCTATTTGACTTGCTATATCTCTACCGAGAATTAAATGGCTATTATTGAACCACCTCATAAAAGAGGAGTCAGTAGGCTTATTTTAAGATGGTGGTCAGTAGGGTCATTTTAAGAGAATCCTGGCAAAAGGGTAGTTAGTAGGGTCATTCTAAAAGTGTCCTCGCAAAATGGAATCAGTGCAGTCGTTCTAATGGGTTCCTCAGAGGGGTCAATAGAGTCATTTTAAAAGTATCCTCGTAGCAGGGGGATCATTCTAAGAGGTTTCTCGTTAAAGGATGTGAAAGATTCTTCGTAGGTTATTCTACGAGATTGCTCATAAGAAGGGGTCAGGTATTTTATTTCTTAAAATCACTCTTAATCCCTCTTAACATTAAACTCAAAACTGATTTACTTCATTACTTATTAACGTAACGTTTACGAATTTATTAAGAGCTTTGGTGGATTTATATTTTATTAATCAGTAACACTAAATAGGCCTGTGTACATAAACTTAAGAATTAATAAAATCTTCATCAAATTTTGTGTATATTTTAGTAATTAAATCGACAATTTATTTTATTAAGGAAGAATAAAATAAAATTCTGCAGAATCGAATTTCATTTTCTCCATCCTCATAAATTCAACACGTTCATGTAAACGACTTATTTATTATCTTAGAAATGGACATTAAAAAGTGCTTAATGTTAATGACTTGAACTTTTATTTATCATTTAAGTAAATGGAGAAAATCGCCAGCAAAATGTATATTTAAATAAATGGAACATCCCTTTTCAAATGATGTATATATGTGAACATTGTTCAGGAATGGATGATTCTATTGTATTAAGTATGTAATTATACATAATATAATTTCTCTTAATTCCCTCCGAATGTAACAACAGTTGTTGTTTGACCCCTCTTATTACTCTTAAATCGTTAATTTAGAACTTTGTTCCAGAGTAAATTTACATCGAGATTTAGCATTTCGAATGGAAAATATTGCTTCTTCGTCATCATTTATCTGCACGAATACGTGAGCAAGAATAAGAAGAAGATTAATCTCTTGGAGATGAAGAAATTGTGTTATCATTTTTCTTAAGGCCTACTTACACCTTGTTCGATATCGTGTATCGTCTGATACTAACTTTATATAAACTTACTGAAAAAGAATCTTGTAAACCCATGTCTCTCTGAGGGCCCGAGCTTTCCGGGCCTCAAATATTCCTTTTCTTGATATACCATTCTTATCTAGCATTCGATCCCGAAATCTTAGACTTTGTAGATCTATATAAAATAGCTAATATCGTGTGATACCACTTTATAAACTTACGTAATATGGGTCTTTCAAATATACGCTTGCCAAATTTTCATGGATGGTTAACCAGGACATGTCAAGATCCGTTCCTTACTGTACTGTACATCACCTATAATGGGAAGGAATCTCCATTGTAGTTTTGACCAAACCCATAATGGGTATGGAAAAGGCATTTTTAGTAGTTCAGTGAAAGTATTCGGTTTATTTCCAAGTAAATACTGTACCTCTTTTCTGTACTAATTCTATTTCATTTACGCATATTTCTATAAAGAAATGTATTGTCTCCTTAAAATTCACAAATTATTGAAATTCATCATATGGTTGGTATAGTTGATGGAATAAGACAACGCAACAAATACTTAGACCTCCCTCCTTGCGATCTGCTAAGGAAGGCTTTGTACGGGAAAACAGTTCCCATTTAGGTGATAGACACGTGAAGAAAATCCGGAGGACTGCACACGGCCTGCCAGCACCAACCTGGGCACCACTCTTGATAGCTCGCCAAGAGGAACGATTTATCAAGAGGGTCCCTTGGAGGAGTTTTTATAAGAAACTGGCATCTATTTAGGTGTTAAACACGTGATGAAAAGTTCCAAATGATTAACCCGTTGGTCGGTTGCGAATAGGGTTTGGGAAGTCTCAACATTCTCAAAGTCCCGGGACACGAGAGAACCCACGATCAAAATCCCGGGACGTCCCGGGACTTCGAGACTTCTCGGAATAAAATTAGAATCGAGTTTATTTTTGGCGAGATGTATCAATAAAAAAGCAATTTTAGTAAAAATCAACATTTATTGAACATAAAATCAAATCCTAACATTTATAACGTTAATTAATGTCTAAACAGTTCGTATATTCAATTCTTATAATCATAGATTCATTTTTTGGCAGTGAAATCTTAAAAGTATACATTATATTTAGCCAACTTAGCAATCATACCAACTTAGCAATCATACTAATCATTAATTAATAATCATCACCTAGTTTCTAGAAATTCATTAGTCATATAAATAATATAATGAACTAGCAATTAGACATCTTTTCTGATTTAATAAAATAGGCATTTAAAAACATCAGAGCATTTGCAGTTTGTCCGACAATCTGTTTCTGATTTTTGTAATAATGCCTCCGGACAAGGAGAACACACACTCGTTTTCAACAGATGTCGGTTTTATTGTGTTTAAAGCTTTATAAAGTAGTTTCAAACTTTCAGTGCGTTTTCCGGTTTCTTCAAATAATTGGAACTCCTTTTTTAATGCTGCTTTTGATTTTTTTGCAAAAATTTCGGGTACATTTTCTTCGATTTTTTTGATTGCCTGTTCCATTTGACTTTGAAACGACTCATCGGGTTCGTTGTGTACTGTAGAGCTACTGGTACTGGGTTCGGGCCCATTAATATCCAAATCTGGCTTTTGGATACGAGTGATATTTTCAAAAAGTCTGTAATGCAGATCTTCCGCAAAAGCAATAAGTGCAGTTTTATTCAAATTCGAAGTAAAAAAATCCGTATTTTGCGACTGTGAGCTGCGGTGGCCCGTGTGCAAATATTTTAACAAACATTTAACAGAGTAAGGTTAAAAGTCACACAGTCTTGTAAATTACCCCCACCTCCGTTGTTTATTTGTAAACAGGGGAGAACAAAGGAAGCGTCGCTCGGCTAACCTTTTAAAAATAAAATTTCGAAAATACAATTTCGATAAGCGTGTCTCGAGTCTTGACCCGAATGTCCCGAGACCCGAGACAATTAAATTTAGAAAAAGTCCCGGGACTTTGAGACACAAGACGTCCCGGGATGCAAACCCTAGTTGCGAACCACGACTAAATATCAGTGTTCAACAGTTTTATCCACTTGGCCACTGATGGGCACTTTCGTCATATGAAAAAATGACAAATTCGCAAATGGGTGCTTCAAAATTATTCATGTAATTGCTAAAAAGCACGAATTGAAATATTCCTTTTAAGAAATTATAACGTTGATTTATTATAATTAATTATTCATTGAGAAAATATGGAATTTTTGTACTGTATTACTTTCTGACACGAATTCGAACCCGGGTCCCTCAGAGTGGCAACCAATGGTCCTTATCTTTACAACAACGATCACATCTTGAATTTCATTTTTTAAATGCTGTAAAATAAATTACTTTTTTATTCTTTCGTTTAAATTATTTTTGAAGTAATCGGCAGATTTGAAATTTTGAAGTTACAAAATAAAATATAAAGTTCTTTGCAAGAACTCTCAGACTTCAAAAGAGGTCTGAAACGCTTAACTTTTAAGGCCTTTAATATACTAAAAACCAAAAATAAAACGAACATAAAAATTTGCATTATATTTTTTAAATAATAAAATTTGATAAAATATGAAGGTTATTTCTTAATATATAAGAAATGGAACTGGCTGAGTAATTTATAACGTATGTTTTTGAGACCGCGTAGATGGTACAGAAAAAAAAGCCCAAAAGTAATAAACAAAAAAGAAAACCTCAGAAACAATAAACAAAAAGCATACCAATCCTAAGTCCCCTAACCACAAGCAAGCTATGATCACTATTCAAACATCCTTCACGAACCACATTCACATTTTTAAGTAAAATACACGGAGCCAAGCTCCGTGTATTTTACTTAAAAACTTCAAAATTTGTAACCTTTGCAACATTTCAAATGTTCAATATTCCTTCTTGTCAGTAATAAGAAAGTAATTTTCCCCTCTTAGCACCTACTGGACCCAGATTCTCTCAGGCTCTTTTACTGTCCTTTAGTTCTCGTGTCCATTATGGATTTGGCCAGGTCCATTCTTGGTACCTGTTCGGTGGGATACGGCAACGCAACACTTAGGCAATCTGTCAAGGAGGAGATGCCTTCCGGAAAGACATTTTATAGTAAACTAGCTTCCATTTAGGTGTTACATACGTGAAGAAAATCTTGAAAACTCCACTGGCCAGTCCGTTAATTGAGTGCAAATCCACGACTAACTTTCAGTGTAATATCTGAGCTTGAGGTTATTTTTGTGGTAGCTTTAAAGGGCTAGACTTATTGTAAACTTTTTCCTACACCATATACACATAAAAGTATGAGGACCTAAGCTACAGATACCATCTAGCTTCTTTAGCATATGCCCAAATAAAACTCTGGATATCATACAAGGTCTAAAAATAGTACTGGATTGAGGGCCCTCGCCAAAATCGAATGTCAAGAAGCATGTCTGAGGCTCTTAGAAAGTATTTATAGATCCGCATATGCTTGAGAACGGTCGTAAAGCGAGCCAATTAATATAAATTTACATTATTTGTTCTTATTTAATTATAAAGATTACGCGTTAATTGTTATAGTGAATATTAATTCTCATAAAAATTTAACTAATATAAAACTCCAACTTCAGCAAAGAAATTTTTAATTTACTTGCCATTACTTAAAGTAAAAATAAAAATAATTGGTTTCTTCAACTTATTAAAATCGTGTCCGTAATTACATCTTACGTTTTATTTTAATAATTTCGTTGTCACGATAAATTAAATTTAACAGCTTAAAAAAATCAAATAATTACAAAATGAATTTCTCCAAAAAAGTTTTATTTTAATCAGTGGTGTGTTGTTATTCTATGGGTAAAAAAGACAATTGCCTCGGGCCCTAATTCAAATTCGCCTGGGCCCCATGAAGCTATAACCCCACTGACTTTATTTAACCTTCAGATTTTTTTAATTTGAGAAAACAAATCGTTAATTCAATAAATCTACTCGATTTTTTTAAAATTTCATTTAAATTTGTTTTAAGCATCTATAATTATATAATAATCACTATATATTTTATACATAAGCTAATTTAAATAATGTATATAGTAGACTTCACTTTACGACTTATCAGTTTGTGGAGGGTCGTAAAGTGAGCATCTTCGATTTCCATAATTTCACTGTTATAAATTGAGTTCTTGAGGTTATTTTGGGGAACCACCTTTAGATTGCCTCCCTGAAAAAGTTCATATAATTAATTTTCCAATTAACCAATAAAACAGGATTAGATTTATGAAAGAAGACAACGCAACACGCGAGCGATCCTGACTTGGGGATGCATTTGGGAAACCGGTCCCCATTTACGTGAAGGAAACCTGGAAAACTCCACCAACCAGCCTGTTGGTCAGGCGCGAACCCGTGATTAATTGTTTACTTCATTTTCTTAATAAAAATTAAACACCCGAGTGAACAAAACCAATCCGAGTGAATATAACTACCGAAGAATGTAATTTGTCGCGGGCTCACGCTTCACCAATNTTTCTTTTGAAAAAAAATACGTACAAAATAACCTCCAAACAATAACCACCTCCGAACGGCATCCATTTTTTTCTGTTCTACTCAGTGGCCAAAGGTTTCCCTGTTTTTTTTTTTTTTTTAATATTTAAAGTCAAATCTCTAAATTGATCGTTGTTAACAGATAGAGCAGATGTGAAAATTCTAATTCACGAGCTATTTTATATCGATTTTTAAGTTTATAAAATGTAAAAATTTCAATTTTATAAATATTTTAACAAAATTTTATCGATTTTAATCTACAAAATGATAGAAAAAAATGCATAAAAACCTATAAAATTCCATACGTGAAACACAAGTGACATACTTTTCAGAACGTTATATCGATTTCATCTTCATTTTTTTACGACAAAACACAATTTTTAATCTGTTAATGCAATAAATTGTTGCTTCAGTCGGTATACAAAGTAGACCAAAAGTCAGTTAACTGTAAGGACTAAGTCAAACACGATTATAAGAGCAAGTATACAGAGAACACATAGGCACGGTTAATAGTCTTTTGGGCCACCCTATATTCTACATTACAATTTATTATTTTTTAAACAATATATTTGTTGTGTTTAACGCATGTTTACCTCATAAAATCGAATTTATTCCGAAAAAATCAACTAATTTCTTTGAGCAATTCGGTTGAAAAGTCATTTTTAGTATCTTTTATAAAACTCTAATTATAAATTTTGTTTTTCTTAAATCAAATTCAAAACAAATAAATAACGACTTTTAAAGGATTTTAACCTAAAATTTTAATTCTTAAACCTCTTTAACTCGATAATATAAAGTTTGAATTGTTTAACTCGAAATCAACCTATAGATCGCGACTTACACCTCACCTGCCACAGATCCTGTTTGCTAAGACCTTTAACACAAAATAACGATTGGAATTACGTTGTTCCACTCGATTAATGGGCGAATTCATTAATGNGACTTACCGGTTGAGTAACTCAACTCAAAACAATGTTTAAAAAAAAAAACTAGAAAAAAACACAATAAATATCCTATAAATTAAAATAAATGTATAAATTATATACCAATTATAAAGCTGAAAATAGTAAAAATTTTATTTATCCTATTTATAAGAGAAATCTTTCAAGAAATCCCAAGACACTTCCTCCTATAAACATCTTAATTACAATTTTAAAACTATTTTACTTGTGTTTTTATACATTTCAATTAATTTTTCTATTAAAAAGTAATTAAATTTATATATATTAGTTAATTAATTATAGACTAAAAGCTCAAAAGTATTGTAAATATAAACAAATTTATCTCATTTATGCATTTTCAGGTAACCCAATGGCAATTAATTATAATTTTCAAACAGTTTTATTCGATTTTTTTATATGTTTTAACGTTTTTAAATTAAAAAAAGGTTAATTTGCATATTTAATACTAAATATAGACTACAAATTCATAAAAGTTGTAAACGAAAAGCCATTTGGCTCACTACTAGACAATCCAAATATCTGGATGAATGAGCACTTTCAATCAGCATCAGGTTAATTTTAAAACTATTTTATTTGATTTTATGTACACTTTAAAGTGTTTTAAATTTACGACGGGTTAATTTACGCATTTAGTACTGAATATAGGCTATAAATTCATAAATATTGAAGATATAAAGTCGTTTGGCTCACTTATAGACGAGCCAAAACTCGTTTTATACGGTTTTACATACATTTTAACGTGTTTTTATTGAAAAAAACCAGGTAAACAAACAAGAAATCTCGAAGCAGAATCCAGAGAATCTCGCCAATCAGGAGCATCGTTTGAAGAGCGAAACGAATTTAATGGCATCACCATCACCAGAATATTGCGATACAGCCAGCCAGACAGAATGGACAGGTGGTTGGGAGCCGTGCTATCTAACGTGTGACCAAAAAGGGTAAAAATCTATTAAACAATGATAGATACTTGCCTTCCCCTTTCCCTGCTTCCCTCCCCACTTTAAATCCCGTTAATGCCCGAAATTCTAGAGCATAATGAGTTGTGTGCGGCTAACGAAATGACCCTTACATAGCTCATTTACATCTCCGTCCAATTTACTGGAGGATAAATGGCCAGATTTTTATTAATTCGAGCAACAATGAGTTGCTGAAATTATTGAAAACTTTTGCAATTTAACGCTCTTATAATATATATAATGCTCGGTTATTTGAATTCAAATTACCACTCGCCTTCTTTCTTTTTTTTATGACGTATAATTTCAGAATGTTGCAATCGTCCAATCAGATGCAGCTAGTCGATTGTGACGTAGGAGCCGAAGATGAGGTGGAAGAAAGCTGTGACGTCGAATATGAGGTAGGTTGAAGAATTTGGTGATCGAATGTTTAATACGGTCGAACCTCCAAACAACGGACACCTCTAAACGGCGGCCATTTCCACCCGTAAACTTTTTCTTTTGAAAAAAAATACGTACAAAATAACCTCCAAACAATAACCACCTCCGAACGGCATCCATTTTTTTCTGTTCTACTCAGTGGCCAAAGGTTTCACTGTTTTTTTATTTTTTTTTTTAATATTTAAAGTCAAATCTCTAAATTGATCGTTGTTAACAGATGGCCGTTATTGGATGTTCCACTGTATAATTAAACAANTTCGTTTAAAAATATTTTTGAAGTAATCGGCAGATTTGAAATTTTGAAGTTACAAAATAAAATATAAAGTTCTTTGCAAGAACTCTCAGACTTCAAAAGAGGTCTGAAACGCTTAACTTTTAAGGCCTTTAATATACTAAAAACCAAAAATAAAACGAACATAAAAATTTGCATTATATTTTTTAAATAATAAAATTTGATAAAATATGAAGGTTATTTCTTAATATATAAGAAATGGAACTGGCTGAGTAATTTATAACGTATGTTTTTGAGACCGCGTAGATGGTACAGAAAAAAAAGCCCAAAAGTAATAAACAAAAAAGAAAACCTCAGAAACAATAAACAAAAAGCATACCAATCCTAAGTCCCCTAACCACAAGCTATGATCACTATTCAAACATCCTTCACGAACCACATTCACATTTTTAAGTAAAATACACGGAGCCAAGCTCCGTGTATTTTACTTAAAAACTTCAAAATTTGTAACCTTTGCAACATTTCAAATGTTCAATATTCCTTCTTGTCAGTAATAAGAAAGTAATTTTCCCCTCTTAGCACCTACTGGACCCAGATTCTCTCAGGCTCTTTTACTGTCCTTTAGTTCTCGTGTCCATTATGGATTTGGCCAGGTCCATTCTTGGTACCTGTTCGGTGGGATACGGCAACGCAACACTTAGGCAATCTGTCAAGGAGGAGATGCCTTCCGGAAAGACATTTTATAGTAAACTAGCTTCCATTTAGGTGTTACATACGTGAAGAAAATCTTGAAAACTCCACTGGCCAGTCCGTTAATTGAGTGCAAATCCACGACTAACTTTCAGTGTAATATCTGAGCTTGAGGTTATTTTTGTGGTAGCTTTAAAGGGCTAGACTTATTGTAAACTTTTTCCTACACCATATACACATAAAAGTATGAGGACCTAAGCTACAGATACCATCTAGCTTCTTTAGCATATGCCCAAATAAAACTCTGGATATCATACAAGGTCTAAAAATAGTACTGGATTGAGGGCCCTCGCCAAAATCGAATGTCAAGAAGCATGTCTGAGGCTCTTAGAAAGTATTTATAGATCCGCATATGCTTGAGAACGGTCGTAAAGCGAGCCAATTAATATAAATTTACATTATTTGTTCTTATTTAATTATAAAGATTACGCGTTAATTGTTATAGTGAATATTAATTCTCATAAAAATTTAACTAATATAAAACTCCAACTTCAGCAAAGAAATTTTTAATTTACTTGCCATTACTTAAAGTAAAAATAAAAATAATTGGTTTCTTCAACTTATTAAAATCGTGTCCGTAATTACATCTTACGTTTTATTTTAATAATTTCGTTGTCACGATAAATTAAATTTAACAGCTTAAAAAAATCAAATAATTACAAAATGAATTTCTCCAAAAAAGTTTTATTTTAATCAGTGGAGTGTTGTTATTCTATGGGTAAAAAAGACAATTGCCTCGGGCCCTAATTCAAATTCGCCTGGGCCCCATGAAGCTATAACCCCACTGACTTTATTTAACCTTCAGATTTTTTTAATTTGAGAAAACAAATCGTTAATTCAATAAATCTACTCGATTTTTTTTAAATTTCATTTAAATTTGTTTTAAGCATCTATAATTATATAATAATCACTATATATTTTATACATAAGCTAATTTAAATAATGTATATAGTAGACTTCACTTTACGACTTATCAGTTTGTGGAGGGTCGTAAAGTGAGCATCTTCGATTTCCATAATTTCACTGTTATAAATTGAGTTCTTGAGGTTATTTTGGGGAACCACCTTTAGATTGCCTCCCTGAAAAAGTTCATATAATTAATTTTCCAATTAACCAATAAAACAGGATTAGATTTATGAAAGAAGACAACGCAACACGCGAGCGATCCTGACTTGGGGATGCATTTGGGAAACCGGTCCCCATTTACGTGAAGGAAACTTGGAAAACTCCACCAACCAGCCTGTTGGTCAGGCGCGAACCCGTGATTAATTGTTTACTTCATTTTCTTAATAAAAATTAAACCCCCGAGTGAACAAAACCAATCCGAGTGAATATAACTACCGAAGAATGTAATTTGTCGCGGGCTCACGCTTCACCAATCGGCTGGCTGGTGGAGTTTCCGGATTTCCTTCGTGTTCTGATTCCTAAATAGAGACTAGTTCTCATAGAAAGTCCTCTCGAGAGGTAGATCAACCATATCTTGCGTTACTTTAAACCACCAATTGCTCGCTTTACGACCTATTACTTGGTACGACCTAGTTGCTGTAAAACGAGCAATCATTATTTACCTATTAAAAAACATAATTATAATTAAATAAAATATTTAAATTTTCAATATTTATTTAAGAATTCTTTAATATTATTAAATTTAAAATCTTTAATTTAACTCAAGAGGTCATTTCTATTTTAGTTACGAGATCGAATGTAACTTCCAGATTTAATCTTATAGGTTTTTGAACTATGTTAATATTTGTCATATATTTGGGTCAGGCAAACTTTTCGAAAGCAAATTGAATGGGGTCAAGTTTCTGTATAAGTTAAGTGAAGTCACAACTTTGACTGTCATATCACGACTACTCTCCACTTACGACTAAGGCTGCTTATCATGAATTTCTGATAAAATCTTCTAAAATATTATAAGAATTACATAAAATTACGTTTTATTAATAAGTTTAAAGCAATTCGTTATCAATTAAAGGGTGGCCCAAAAGTCAGTTAACGGAGGTATACCCTTTTTAAGGGTGCAAGGGCGAATAGCAAATCGCATCTGTTTCAAACTGTCGCTGACTTTAAAGGACAATCAGTTAACTAACTTTTGGACTACCCCGCCATGAAATAAGGTATGAAAGGTAAGAGTGAATTTGCATTTTCAATTAACAAATATAAAAAAAAAATATTCACTTTTAATGAATATTCGAATTAAAAATTTATGATAATAACGAGAAGAAATATACCTACATGAACAAAGGTGACTCAAAAGTAGGTTTGTAGGATTGACGGGATAAGGCATCTCGACACGTGGGCGAGTTGCCAAGGGGGGACTTTCTACGGGAAACTGGCCCCTATTTAGGTTAGACACGTGAAGAAAACGCAGAAACTGCACGTGGAACCCACGACCGGTATGTTCACTCGGACACCGCTGGGCCTGGTTCAAAAGTCAGTTGACTATTGTCAATTGCATTATTCGAATATTACTATTATTAACTAAACAATTTTTGAGGAATTTTTTGAATCACATCAGACGCGGTTAACTAAAAATAAAAACACTAATTGATTATAAGTAATATGGATTATAGTTTAATTATTTATCCAATTATAAATTAATTAAAGAACATAATCTAATAATAAATGAAGAAAGTAATTACAGTAATATTCAGTTTGTATAGAATTAAATAGGAAGTATTTCGGATTGTCTGTTGTTAATTTACTAGAAGTTGTCGATCGTTAATTCATTTATGATCCAAGAAATAATTAATTAATTTAAACTGATTATGATTAATTAAAACTTCTCTACAAAATTCTATTTATTTTAATTCTATGTTGTTTGTTATAAGTTCATAATATATTTATTTATTAAAGATTAATATTAAAGTTTAATGTTTAAATCGAATTTATAAGAAATATATAATTAAGTCGTTTATTTTATGAAATATTTTGTTCTTATCTTGTAAAATGACATAAACACGAATTAAATTTGTATCGACAATTTAATGAGTCATCGTCGTGAGTTTTACAAGAAGCAGATCATTAGCACAAGACTCAAACTGTAATTTAAAGCCTTACACCACATCTTTACAGCCTCACGCTATGAGTCTTCAGCTTAGAGCTATGAAACTAAAGCTTAAAGCATCACTGCACAAGGTTAAAACTTCGAACCTCACGCTACAAAGCTTCAGTGAAAAACTTATAAAACTACAGCTTTAAACCTCATTCGACAAGGCTCTATTTTTGGCCTCGTACGTTTAAATTTATTATTATTTATTGAAGAGCAAGAACCTCTTATATAACTTAGAATATAACAAATCTAAATCCAATCCTAATAACGAACATATACACATTAAAATATCTGAGTTATTAGGTTATTAAAATATCTGTTATATAAGGTAAAAATATTTCTAAAAATTCAAAGAAACACAACTAGAAAAAATTATTTTAAATTGTGAGTCATAACCTGCCTCAAATCAACAATTTCGTTTATGGTATGAGTCATTCGTTACATTCGCTTTGAACACTAGAAACGATTTATTGACCATCTTTTAATATTTATGTTTCACTCTTCTACAGAAAAATATGAAGAAAATATTCCACAAAGACCACGAATTTGAAATTAAAATGTCTTCCATGAAAAAAGACAAGTTATTTTGTTTTGACGTATTAATTTTCTGGATATTTCCCATGTTATTTTCATAGATTTTATTAATAACAAATGGGAAAATCTGCGTAAAACTATAAAAATTTTAACATAGTTTTTTTAATGTTTTATGCCTTAATAATTCCTTTGATGAATAATTTAGTTAACTATAAATTTGTAATTTTTTTCAAAATTTTAATTTTTTACATAAATTACATAAAGAATTAAAACTTAGAAATAAAAATAATATACAGTATTTTAAAAATAGATAAAGATATAAAAGAAATTTTTTATGAATTTTCAGCTTTAAATTAACACTTAAATTTTATTCTTATTTTTAATTAACCAATTTAAGGCAATTCAAACTTTAAATGTGAAGTCAAAACTTTATAAAAGAATTAATATTTTTATACACTTTTTTAATGTTTTAAGCGTTAATAATACCTTAGATGAACAATACCTCGAGAATTCCTACGATGAACAATTCCTCAGATGAACAATATCTGATAAACAATACCCTAGATGAACAATTCCTCAGCAGGAAATTTGCAATTTTGTTGAAGATTTTAATTGTTTTTTTTTAAATATAAATGTCTTAAGAATTAATTCTACTCTCTAAATTAATGTTTTCTATATAAAATCATTAATGACAAATGAGAGCATTTTTTATTTGTTATTAATGATTCATAGAAGAAATTTCATTTAAAAGAAGGTTTTATAAATTTTTCTGCTTTAAATTTACAGCTAAATATCATTATTATTTTAATTAATTGACCGAATCAATATTTTTTAATTGTCTTAATAATTTTTGTCTGAATAATTAATTATCTTCCATTTAAAATATGTTAAAAGTTTAATTTTTTTATCCAGATATTTTAAAACGAGTGCTTCATTTATGAAATTATTAATAAAAAAATGAAAAAAATTATTTAAAAAATGAAGATTTTAATGAATTTTCTACTTTAAATTTACGTTTATAACTTCATTACGAGAAACTGAATATACTGTATTTATATCTAAGCTGTTTCATATGGAAATGGGCCTATTTATATTTATATATGGTTCATAACGTGTAGAAGCATCATTCGTATAGCAGCACTGTTCATGTAGAAGTAACATTCGGGCAGCATCATAATTCGTATAGTAGTAGTAACTTAATAGAACTAATATTTTGAATCTTACTAATTCCTAAACGAATAAAAGCGTATCAAAATTTCAACTTTTTACATAAATATCTCAAGAGTTTATTCATATTTTTCTGTAAAAGAGTGTTTTCTTAACATTTACTTTGTGTAAGCAAAGTAAAGCTTGCTGTCTCTTTGTAATTTATTCACTTCTTCATTCAGTTGTGATGTTATCTTCAATCATTCCCATGTATAATTTATTTTTTCTTCTTTTTTTGTCTAATTAGTCTTGTCTCATTTGATTCAAAATCAATTAGTCTAAACAGTTTCAGAAGATAAGTCTGCTTTATGATCTTTCTGAGCATTAACAATCAATGAAGCATAGATAATTATATTATTAAATTCTACTGATTTCATTTTTAATTGTAACAGTAATTCCTTTTCTCGTAATTAAAATGAATTTTGCTATTTTTAGCATTCCATAGAGCTCGTAGTATTAGCATTCTAACTACGAGGATAAGGGCTGCAGCATGTAAGGTAAATGTAAAGAATCATTAATTAATTATTGTTTATTTTAAAACAAATTATAAATTTAATCGAAATCTAAACTTCAGTAACTAATTAATAATAAAATTGTTAATGTAGTAGTGTAGCAGTACATATAGTATACGTACTATAACAAAGGGAAGAAGTGAGTAGGGCGCAGTTGCACCCCTTCTGGGGATTTCAGTTAGTAATAAATTTTTAAGGCTTATTGTTTCTGCACTCCCGTCTAAAAATTTCTGGAGATTGCTAGTTTATGTAATAATGTATTAATACACTATATTGTACAGTACTACATGGTCACATAGGATATAATTCTATATAATATTGTTGTTCCATAGTACATAACTACACAGTACTACATAGTTGTGTCTATGTAGTACATTTAATAGTACTATTAGTAGTACATATGATATATGTATGCTATTATATACGTTTTACGTGTACTACATTAGTTAACATTAACAACTAATATAGTATGTACAAAGCATACACATTTGTAAATAGTCGTCTATAAGAAGTTTTAAATTCAGAAGTGTACTGTAGAGACGGCGAACAAACATATTCTAAAAATGAATTTGAAGAAAGTCAACTCGATAAATAGAAACATTCATTTAATGCTTACTTTCTCCACTGATTCCTTTCATTCGGATTGATTACAAAAGAGAAAATCATGAATTATTTATTTCTTGTTGATTCAACTAAACAGTTCAGAGAATCACAGTTCTTTAGAACGTTCTCGTCGAACAACTGTCTCCATTTAAATCTAAAAACACGAGCATCTGTATCCGAAGCGTGAGTTCGAACCTGAGCCCACGTTTCAGGTATATGCTTGTGTTCATAGATTCGAGTAGAGGGACATTTAGTTTAATAATTATATACAATGATCCAAAACCCATCTAACCGTGTTTTTTTTTTTTTTTTTTGCGAGAGATTCGGCAATTTGTGTAAATGAACTTTGTATATAGAGCTGAAAAGGTCTCTTTTTGAACAATTCTCGTAAAGTTTCTGAATAATAAAGTATTTTTGAAGAAGACAACGGTTTAGCCTTTATAATCGTTAACTGAATTTTGGCTAAACCTATATTTTATATCATTAATTTATCGAAATTTTTACTAAAAAAGACAGTATAATGTAACGAATAACAATATTGTCTAACTCAATAAAACGGTCCTTAAGAGGGATTGAATTAATGGGATAATGCAAAGCAACATATGGGTAATGTGTTAAGGGACTGCCTTCAGGAGGGCTTCTTTTGGGAAACTGATCCCCATTTACGTGTTAGACATGCGAAGAAAAACCTTGGAAACTCTATTTGGCCAGCTGTTGGTAAGGCACGAACCCGCAACCAATTACTACTGTTCAGTGGTTTTATTCACTCGTCCACTAGTGGGCACCGTTGTACAGGCTAAATCCCAACTTTATTTAAGCACTATTGTTTATGAATGTTAAAAAAAATACAATACATTGTTCAATACACAATTTACGAGTACAACACTCCGGCACACACAAACTACTTTTGGATTATCTTGCATGTTAGGGATAAGTGCATTATTTTTAATTTCCGGCGTGTTTTTGTCATAAATCTCGAATAATTATCATTATCGGCACTTTCATTTAGCTTAATCAATCTGATTAAAATTTCTAAACAGATTTTTATGTAATTTAAATAACTATTAATCGATTTTAATTGCTATAAACACTTAAAATTTGCTTAAAAATCTAACAGATTCACTCAATGATCTCAATTACTTCTGACAAGAAAAAAAAAATATTACTTCTATTACGAGAAACGTCTAAAGGTCATCATCACCATAAAAGGAAAGTTATAAACCTGTAATCGCCTTACTTATCTAATCATGATAAAGATAACAGATTTAGCTTTACCTTCACACGTTATTTTAGTTGCAGACTCTCCCTCAAGAAGCTCCAAAGTAATGACTTACTCCTCCATTTATTCACCTGAAAACAACAACAGGTAAAGCTGTAACAAGCTTACAGTCAACTAAAACAAATTACAAACTTTTAAGTAATTAAAGAATTAAAATAATTATGAAACTACTTTAATTTTACACTAAAAAATCGCCGAACAATGCAAGGAAGATCGCTAGGAAGATAATCATCTTCCAAACTTACAAGCACTGATTAATTAAAGAAATATTATGAAAATTAATACTTAAACATGAATTTATAGAGATAAATCGCATAAATTTAAAGGAAAAAATCTCCTAATTATGTACTTATTAAATTGTAAAAATCATAACTCAACATGAATAAATTAGAAATTCGAAGCTGAGCTTTTCTTCCTGGCAAAGAATATGAAGGAGAAGATACATTTACAGGGGCAAAGTGTACATAATTCTTACTATCGATCAATTTGTCATAAGTGACATCCGTTTAATTGTGTTTAATTACGCGTAAATTTCTGTTTATCACTCGAAATTTCTACTAATTAAGAATTAACATGGGAAATTCTTACTTAAATTTATATTTTTCTCGATTTAAATCTAGGAGATTCTATTGAAACGTACTTGTTACAACGAACGGTTGGGACTAACTTTATGTTACAGAAATCCAGAAGATGCAGAAACGGATATATTTATTAGTGAGGTACGATTTATATCCCTTTTCGTACATTTTGATGCATCATAAATTACTAAGAAAGCGTAGAAAATATTGTTTTCTAGATAGAAGATTCTGGTATAGCTGGAAAGGATGGACGCTTGCAAGAAGGTGATCAATTATTACAGGTAAGATAACTTACCTCAGACAAGTTTAGTGCGTTAAGAGACGTGAAAATCAATACAAAGATTCTTTCGATATACAGTTTTAAAGTATGATTTTATAACCTTTAATTATCTAAAGGTTTAATTATCTGTAGAGGGAGTAGTTTGCATTAAAATTAGCCATAAAGTTTAATAGATAGAAGATAGCAACGATGATAATGGATATATAGATAATTTGATAATAGCATCTCTCGTGTGATATCTGTTTAACTTGTTTTGTCTACAATTGGATAACGCATCGATATGGCAAAGATAATGGGCTCCATTATATGTTGCCTGAGTTAATAATGTTACTACTCCTCTAACTTTTATCTTTGTAGAAATCACTTCTAGGCTTTACACTTTATAAAACCTTATCCAGAAAATATGAGCGATGCGCTTCTAACATTTTCTTCTTCATCTTATTTTATCTATACTTTTTTTCTTTTTTTAGATAAATGGAATTGAAGTGTATAGCAGAGATCAAGCCATTAATCTGTTCTCAGAAAAAAGAACCGATTTTACTCTTGTGGTGGCAAGGTCTAATACACAAGTAAGTATGGAAAAAATTAATCAAAATATAGAAAAATTGTGTCGCGTGACAGTTGGATGGTGTTTTTTTTTCTATTTACACTAGGAATTTTCTAAGATGGCAAGTGACCCCTTACTACATCATTAATCTCTCTGTTAGTTTCTGAAAGACAAGCGAACTAGCAAATAACAGTTACAGATACTTTCAAATTGAAAGGCGTTATTGTCTAAATTTCCCGAATTTATTTTTTATAAATGAGAGATTTTATTAAATTGGGAAGTAAAATAGACGTTACACATAATAATTGGCTATAAACTGTTAAATAGATTAATGTTGAGAGCGTTATCTGCTATTCTTCCAGGATTAAAGCAATGATCACGCGATAGGAACCGGCATGGATGCCCATAAGAGAGTATTATTTCTTCGTAATTCGCTAGAAAATGTTCTGCGCTGTGTTTATTTCTCTAATGTTTACTACAGAGTGATCTATACGTAGGAAATAGTTTTATTCTTTCTCCAAGGCCCCCCAGACTTCATCCATCTGATGTTTATTTGTTGTGTCTTCGATGGCGATGAAGAGACAAAACGTAGCTCGCCCAAAATAATGCATTCACAATGAAAATGGGCATTTAACACCAAACGTGTTAATGCCAGTTTACCACGAACAGAAAGTATGAAACTCGCCTATTAACAATGGGGTACTCCTATAAAACGTTTTGTGAACGCAACACTCCTATACAGTATGTTTTCAGGGTAAAGTGACTGTGGTGCTTTGTGAATAAAGTGATCGGGCATCCTTACAGGCCTCTAGGCCTAAGCAATGCTTTTGGAACAAAATGCATACAAAATTACCTCCAGAGAACGACCATCTCCGAACAAAAGTCATTTTACTTTCCCGGCTCTGTTATATATACAGGCCCAACAAAGGGAAAATATGGAGATCGGAACCTTGAAACGTTGAGAAAAATAATTCCGGTGCTTTTGCTGTATACGTGGATGTTATTATGTATGGGGTACGATTTTGTTCACCCTCTTTGAGGCTTAATAACTATCGGTGTTTTTTGTCGAATATTTCTGAAATTTTGCAGGAAAATTTGTGTATAAGGGAAATTGATACTATTAATATTTGGTGGTTAAAGGTCCAGGAATGGGGAAATAAAGAGGGGTCGTGTGTCATATCTCGAGTAGGGTCGGGACTTAACGACGATTTTCCTCATTATTAGCATTTACAAATTTTTATAAAATTCGTCCTTACCCTCAAAATTAAGCTTTTTGCCATTTTATAATAGTTAAAAATATAACAAGTTTATATAACAAGTTTTCTTTTTACTAAAATATTTTAACAGATGGTGCCGCACGCAGTTTTAAATGTTGCCGGGAAAGTGAAGCAATTCGTTGCTGGATTTTTTTTTTATCAGTGATCGTTGTTCAGAGGTTTGACTGTTTATAAAAAAAGAACTAACAATTTTTTATATAGTTTTACTGATAAAAACCATTTATTTTCATTGATGACGATGTTGTTGTTGTTATTCTTTTGCCTTCAGGATAAATATACAGTATAACAATTTCACTTCCCTCCTCTAAACAATCATCATGATTAATGACGAGAAGAAATTATCCAAAAGTCATAGATCTTTAATTTCAATTAATCTTTATTCCGTTGTTAATAAATAAAAGTTTAAATAATAATTTTCGTTGGTCGTCTCCGAGCCCCACCCCATTAAAGTCATATGAATTATATATTAAATTGATGATAATAAGCCAACGTTACTTAAAAGATTACTCAGTATATGATGTATGGGTTACAATTTTCAACGACTTCTCTTCAATTTCAACTCGCCATATTTGTTGATTTAACTTATAAATATCGTTTATTAACTCGTTAAATTAAATAATAACACATGATAATTTCTCTTTTGCTAATTATTCTCGTTGAATTCTGCGTGCCAGATGTTAGGTGCATTCGTTACGTCATACAGCGTACATTGTTTCCTTAATCTGACGTCATTCTACGTTCCTCGTAATAAAATGCCGCGTAAGAGTCACGTAAGAGCGTGTTCTGTGACGAAATAAATGTTTTTTCGTGTGTTATTATGAGTTCGTGAAGTGTATTATTTGCCAAATTGTATAAAGTTTTTTCATTCAAAAGTTGGTCTTCCAAATAGATCACTCGATATACTAATTGATCGTGGTTAACGTATCCCTATTCAACGCTGTCTACAGAGATATTTGGCAGTCGAAATGCAACTATTGTGACATTTTCGTAAAAAATAAAATAATATTAGTACTAAAACTCGCCATTGCGGCTCTGTTGGCGCTACAAGAAATTTGTGGAGGCATTTAAAAAGTGATTTATTGAGGATGTGTTGCAAATTTGGCAGCCTCGAAGGACAATATCACACTGCACGTGAGAAAGACTGGATTGGACTGATGGGATAAGGCAATGCGACACGTGGGCGATCTGCCAAGGAGGGGATTGCCTCTTGGGAAGAATTTCTACAGGAAACTAGACCCTATTTAGGTGTTAGACACGACGAAAGCGCGGAAAATGGCAGGTGACCAACCAACCCTTCAATCCAGCGCGAACCCACGACTGTGGTTTATCCATTCGGCCACCGGTGGGCCTAATCTTAGAATGAAACAATCCAAAAATAGCTTTATTATCTCTCCACAATACTGTTGAAGATTGCATAAAGTTAATATTCTGTGTAGTGAAATTATTTTTTAGGTATGTTAAATAGCGCATGAAGGGAAGAAAAAGGTAAAAAATTCCTTGAAGCGTGTAATGATGCATATCCATTAATTACGAAAATGAAACGTTTTGATGTGAAAATATTAAAAGATAATATTTCAATGAATATTTTTATAAATTTGACTTTATTTATTTATTTTTTTAACTGAAAGTGTTTACCATCTTAAGAACTGGACTGTATATTGAAGTGGTTTCGCCATCGATATCGATGTTTGTTGACGTCATTGTTACTTCTCCCTCCGGAGGTTATAAACTTTACCAAAATTAAACGTTATGGTTCCATTTTTAATTAGTAAAATAAATGCGGAGTGCCATCTAGGGACTGAAATTATAACGATTTTCAATATTTAGTTTATTGCAGATAATTTTTATATAGAAGAATATTTAATTTATTAATATTTTAATATTTAATGTAACGTATTTATTTATTTATTTACTTTGTCTTTGCATAGCTTAATATATATGTCCAGTGGCCCAAAAGTCAGTAAACCCGCTTCACGCAAGCGGTGTTACAAACTTGATTTTATTCATTATTAAAACAAGCTTTGAAATATATATATATATATCGGTTAACTGACTTTAGGACACCCTGCGTCTATAGGATAGGATTGATAAAATAAGGCAACGCAACACTTCCAAGCGGGCGGATGCCTCCTGGGAAGACTTTCTACGGTGGAAACGCCCCTATTTAGGTATTATACACGCGAATAAAATCTGGAAAACTCATTGGAGAGGCACGAACTTTCCTCTACTACTCAAGCTACCAGTGTTCAGTAGCTTCATCCACTTGGCTCTGTGTCTATAGATTTTTTTGCTTTTGGCATTCCTGGCCCGTTCCTCCAGAAATATCAAATTTGTGTTATGCCAACGCCCGTAATGCCTTTAAGTGTATGAGAATTCTTAAATTGTTTTATCTACTTACAGGCAGAAGATATACCTTCAGTTTATATCCACGAAGATGGAAGAGCAAGTCGTGTGGACGAGAGGTTTCGATACGCGAATATTCCAGAAAATTTTCACAAATGTGCAAGTACGAGTACAAGCAGCTTGGTAGATGCACCATCTACAAACACTCACAACGATACAGACGCGCTGACCCAAGGAATAGACACTTTACAGATTCGTTCGCCCGATAGCCCAACATTATCCGAACGCACTTGTTACGTCACCGGTAGTTCACAAAAGACATTAACAGATTTGAATCACGAGATAAATGGAGGCAACAAGCGATCCACAGATAATTTCCGCATCAGGCAAGTGGAAGAATGGGTGATGAACATACGAGAGGAACGATTCCGTAAATCAGACAAAAGGTGTACGGAATATACAGTCGACAAAAGCACACAGTTGCCGACAACAGATTGCAGTAGTCCATATCCGTCCACCACAATGTATACGAACCCAGCCCATTTGGAACACACCATGTGGATCCAGCAGCAACTCTTGCGCCAATCGTTGGCCAAGCAGACATGGAAGACGTGTGTACCCATGTCAAGCCGAATGCCAGATCACGCAACAGCATCACCCGAGTATCAAGTAGAATGGAAGGTAAAGAAACGTTCAGATGGTAGCAGGTATATAACACGCAGGCCCGTTAGAAATCGCCTGTTGAAGGAAAGGGCATTGCAGATTATGGAAGAAAGATGCGGCCAGACAACCGACGATGATGTTATGAGCGAACTTAAAACGGGAAAATACTGGACAAAAGAAGAAAGAAAAAGACATTTGGAGAAATCCAGAGAGAGGAAGAAGAGAGCTGTGATGATGAGAACTAAAATGAACAGTGTACGAGAGGAACAGGAAGAACAGGAAGTATCTCCTCATAGAAAGAATAAAAAGTCACCCGTCCAATATTTGGTGCCAAGCGGTCGTAAACAATTTGGTTTGTTGTCGGTAACCACTGTATAATTACAGCTCAAATTATATTTTCCATACATGCCAATCGAAGAAAAACATTAACATCGATATTAAAGACAGCGAATGTTCATCCCGTGTAGTCACGTGCCTGCATCACTCAAAGATAAATTAAATCCTAAATTTTATATTTAAAAAATAAATAAATACAACGATAAATAAATTGGATGAAAATAAATTAAGAAAATTATATTAAAATAATGCCCAAAATTTTCAATCGAAGTCATCAAAATTGTAAACGCGAGAACCGTTGGATGATCCACTTTGTAATTGACAATGTTGCAGCTTATGGACTCTTGTGATAGGCTCATAACGATTTCTCTTTTTAAAATGGTGCAGATAATCGTTTATAACGGAAATATTTTCAAAATTAGCCAAATATTTATAATGTTTTAAGTGCAATAATGCATAGAAAAGAATATCCGAAGAATTGTTTTTTGTGTACGAGTCGACAAACAGAATGCATTTTTTTTCTACTAAAAACCTAAAATTCCTAGAGATTATTGTTCACAATGGTGATAGAATATTGTAATAAACCGAATTTCTTTTTCTGGGTGTTTATATTCATTAATTCAAAATTTATATATATGAATATATAAATTATATATATTTATATATAGGATCTACTATATTTGTATTGGGAAAAGTTGATATTTGTGAGAAGAAGAAGGGGAAAATATTGTTGTACTTCTCGATGTATGTTATTTGTGTAGTTTTGTTACTTTTGGAATCTTTTCAGGATTTTCTTGAAAATAAAACATTATCAATTTAAAATATTCTCTTATATATCTACAATAAACAAGGTAGGGCCTTAATTTATATTTGTAAGCTACACAAGCTATAGCATCACAAAAACCTTAACCTATGAGGATACGGTTTAGGGATAATACAAAGGAAATCCGGAAAATTGCACGTGACCAGCATTCGATGGTTGTATCTATTCAACCACTGATGGGCCCTGTAGTTTAGGCCCTTGAGCTTTTAAATATATTATTATCCGGATGAAGAAGAAGGGCCTCTTATATGTATACCGTAGTTTAGAGTCGAAACAAATGTAATTCGGCCCCGATGACAGATACAAAACGTTAATTTAAACTTAATTTATCGATATTTTTTGTAATCTTTATCTCCTCAATGTAGATTAAACATTGTTTTTAGAAAATATATTAATGTTTATTTTATAAGGTATTAATTCTGTTGTTTATATTTAATATAAAGTCCGCATCTTAAAGCCATAATTTAAACGTTACAGTCGAACGAAAGAATGCCTCTCGGTTACATTACTTGTAAATTATATCGATCCTTGGAGTTGAAAGAGAACCCAGAAAATCTGTTTATTGATAAGTGCTCCACCGACCAACGCGCAGATCTCGGAGAAAAATACTGTATTCAACTCCATCCAAACTGAATTGTTACGTTTATATAAATCGTTCGGTGAGTTATCGATTGATAAAAGTGAATTTTGTATATTTAAAAATATATAAACAACGATTTAAATCTCATTCTTCCTTCCTTTCAGCTCAGTTTCATTGAATAAAGATGGCGATCGCACAATCTACACGACGTAACAGATACTAAATTATTGATTTTTCAGGCACCGTTACGGAAAATAAAAATAATTCTGTCTCTTTCTTCTCTTGTTAAATTGTTTAATTCGCCAGTACCTCTCGGTAGTTTGCGGGAGGCCCGGCTACTTAACATTTCGAGACTCTAGTGTATTAAAAAAAAAAAATAGCGTTTAAAAATTGTATTTTGTAAACAATAATGATTATTAATGAATGTTTTAGAGCTCCTGGAAATGAGAGGCCCACGACAAATTGTCCTGTTGGCCTTCTGCGATAGAGTTTGGCATTTGTGAAAATCTGAAGCTTTTTACAATATCAAAAAAATGTGTTCAGTATAAGCGACAGACGATGAGTTAGGACCCTATATTATATAGTCTTATAAAAATCTATACTAACCAAGTTACAATTTTAGGGGTTCACCAGTCCGAGTGAATAAACTATTGAACACTGGTTGTTGGTCGCGGGTTTACGCTTCATCAACGTGGCTGCCACGTGGAGTTTTCCGGGGTTTTCTTCGTCTAATCAGGGACAGTTTCCTCTCAGCAGGTAGACTCTTGACAAATCACCAGAGAGTTGCATTTCCTTATACCAATCCAATCCAATTTAGGGCCTCTTGCTTTTTTAATACTACTATTTGATAAAGAGGACGGGCCTCTTATGTATTCACATCACAGGGCCTGACAAATTCGTTGTAGCGTTAAGCTACAACGAATTTGTCAGGCCCTGTAATGACTCATGTTTACATTTTAAAAGTATTTTAAAATAAGAGTTCGACTTTAAAATTCTATAAAAATGACCAAAGGGATTTATTGAAATTTATACTTTAAAACAGAAATATTAATTTAAATGCTACTTTTTTTAATTTTACAGAGTGTTATTAAGAGCACTGGGGCCTTTTTCAAGGCTCTAGTGCTCGTAATAGCACTCTTTGTAACAGTATGGGTTTGGCTAGGCACAATGAATCGATAAGATAACTTAAAAAGATATAAGTTTCAAAATCAGGAAGTTCGAAAGCAAAAACTGAATCATTGGAATAGAGACTTTCACTGGAGCCGGATCCACTTACATTTCTAAGGACTCCAGTATAAGGTTCTTCAAACGTGATGCCTGAAGCAGATTATCCTACTTGGCCATATGGCATTGGGTGTAAAAACACGATTTAATGGCCTAATAAATTTAACATCTTGATTTGCTCTTGATTAAATTTAATATTAAAACATATATTAGTTAATCATCACACATATCGGATTCATACCTAACTATACAAATTTTTATTCCATAACGGAGGCTTTATTATAGGCCTTATAACGTGTCTCCAGAGATTATTATCCCTTAACACATGTTACGATATATGATACATATCCTGTCTTCCCAACGTGAAAGGCCATGCATGATTGGACTGCTCAAACGGTGTTCAAAATATTCATAAGTGAAATGGTCAAACAGCCAAACGCACTGATACTACAATACCAGGGAATCAACTGGTACTGGAGAAGTCTGATGCCAGATTTTTTTGTTTTAAATTTGTCAAAATACAGTAGAGCGTCGTTTATCCGAAAGCTGGTTATCCGAAACGTCCGTTATCCGAAAGCATTCCAGTCAGCAAATTTAAATTTTCGCTAGTGCTGTGGCGCTGCAATCTTCGGCTATTTCTCGGGCTACTCAAATATTTTACGTTTTTGATACTAAATTAACATCTCAAGTATAATTTTTTATTGTTTTTATATTTTTCAATAAATTTATTTTGTTTGTACAAAATAAAAAAATAATTTTTAACGATACAATAGTCTTCGTTAGGCTTAACATCGACGAAAATTCGACGCGTAGCGACACGCAACGGAGAAAAATTTCAACACGGGATAAATTAATATATTTTTTCGTACATGATTCGTTATCCGAAAAATAAGTTATCCGAACCACCCCAGTCCCCAATTGATTCGGATAAACGACGCTCTACTGTATTGAACCAAATGTAAATAGACATATTAGGCTATCTAGTACCCAAAACATGTGATACATTTAAGGTCCTTTCAGTAATGCTCTTTTTTTCCAAATTGCTTCCCCTAATGGCGGTTATCATCAGTATACTAAGAATAAAACAGATAAACTCACCCGTTACATTAAATATAACAGAAACAGTCAGGGAGATAGTCTCAAGTTACAGTACAGTATATGAGTAAGCAAAACGAACGTATTAAGAATATCACGTGGTACCAACTCTTTCAATGAGACTACTCACTGAACGAGTAAGTGGCACGTGATACTTCCAACACATTCATGTTGTTCACATAACTCGAGACTACACCCACAACTTAATGATAAATCAGACAGACCTGATAAAAATGCTATGTCTGATCTGAACGCCTTGCCTTTCTCTCATCCATGGTATTTATGTTTTTATAAGATATTGGACTAAACTAAGATCATTCTGGTTCATTTTGAAACAATATTCCAACTGAAAACAACTGAAATATTTAAACATTGATTAAAAATAAGGGATAAACTTTGTAAATAAAAACCTTTTCAGGATCTAGATCTGCCATCTTGATTTACTGCATCATTTGGATAAATGAGAGTTTGTGATAGAATGGACTACACTCGACCAGGTTTGTAAGATGGTCGCTACACGTTTCAAAAATGACCAAGTTAATATTTTTTAAAAAAATTAGATAAGAACCGAATCTTGCATATTGTTTCCTATTCATATAAATATGCGGTGGCGAATTTCAAAACTTGTCTCCAATTTCTATCGTATTTTTATGCAATGTGGAAACTTACTTCTAGTTTAGAAACTTATCACAATCACTATTGAAAAGAATAGGAAACAATATGCAAGATTCAGTTCATATCAAATTTTTTTTCAAAATTACTGACTTGATCAGTTTTGAAACTATACGCCTCACATACTGAATAACAACTTTATCATCATAGGTTTATGTGTGTTTACAATGAGCCTGATGGCAGAGGGTGGGGACTAATATACTCGAAAGAAATCACTCATGAAAAACTCATAAGATTTCACCCAGATTCAAACCGTATTTTTCTTTCGTAGTAAACGGACCTCTTTTAACATCATTACGGTGTAAAAATATACTGTATATACAGGGTCAGGCTTGGAGATTTAATAAAAGAAAAATTTATAACTTGCGATGTATTCGTATCAGACTGGAAGTGTATCTTATGTTGTCATTTGTGGCCATTTGTAAGAGATACCGTATTTTAGCGCTGAGGTTACTAGCACATGATTAAATAGGTGCATTTTTATGAAAGACCAGGTGATAAGCCACAGTGAATGGAGCAAGTTATTTGGATATAGTGCAACTTATACTATCCCTCAATTTCCTCTTGGCACTATTTATCAATGTGGCTCCTCCCCACATTGGGATTTAGATAAAACAATTTCTGAATGGAGATAATTTAATTATAAGATGATGATAAATCTTCTTAAACAAAAGTAAGATAACAATATAATTATTTCCTTAATTAATCAACTTAATGAATTGCGGATTAATAATAATCGGTAATTTTAGAACCATTAAGTTGATTAATTAAGGTAATATTTATATTGTTATCTCACTTTTGATATTGTCTTATGGCATTTATATTATTAATACCATGTCACCAGCCCCAACCGAAAAAGATTTAACAGTTTTTATTTCCCAAAATGATAATCAGTAAAAACTGAAAATGTTGGATTGTATAGAATTGGATTGATTAGTATAAGACAATATAACGCATGGGCGATCTGCAAACGGAAAGTGCCTCTCAGAAGAAATTTCTACAGGAAATCGGTCCCTATATTAGTACTGTATTAGAAAAGAGAAGAAATAGTGGAAAACACCACGAAGTTAGCTCATTGGTCAAGCGCGAACCAGCAACAAACTACCAGTGTTCAGTGGTTTCATGCATTCTGTCACTCAATAAATTTTAATGACTGAGTACTTGAGGTGCCAGCTAAACCCGAGATAAAATCCGGACGGATCAAAATACAGTACTTCAGAAATTTTTTGGGTGTGGGTTTGTCCGAATATTTTGGGCCGCGTCCCTCACCATCCGACCACTCCATTCTAGGCCTGGCCGAACTCATAAAAGACTTGCTTAAAAAAGCCCTCTTAGTGCCCACGATGAGAAGAAAAAAAATTACAATTACAAGTATTT